TTTTTTTTTCTCGATACGTTTTCCTTTTGACTTTCCTTTTTGTTGCCATTTTATTTTAACTTGTAAAAAAAAAAAAAAAAAAAAAATTTGTATGCCTCTTTTATGACTGCCTATTGTTGTCCACTGTTGTTATCACTCTTTGTTAAAATCAGGTCTCTCTTGTAAATGAGCCTTCGAGGCTCAATGGGATTAACCTGTATAAATAAAGTTTGAATGAAAAAATTAATAAATAAATAAAAGGTGATCATTGTAAACTTTGGTTTATTTACTGTACATAATGATTTTAATCGCTGAATGTCCGGCCCCCGAGCTGTTAGTTTTCAGAAACTGTGGCCCCCTGAGCAGTTTTGTTGAATAGCCCTGATCTACAGAGATTACCATAATCTGCTGCCTTTTGACAAGTATAAAAAAAAATCTACCAGACACAAATTTCCTTATTTTTTGTCCTATGTTTATGTAAAGACATCCTAACTCTTTAATACATGACAACATATGGAAACATGACATCCATCAAATTATGCTTAATTCATGTGCAAGCTCTGTCATACTTACAGTCACTGAGCGGACGCCAGAGTACGACAGGGTGTTTGGGAAATTCCCTACAAGCTTTGCTTCATAAGCATCGTCACCGTTCATGTTGGTCACCGTCACCAGCAGAGCCAAGTCCTTCTTCTGATAGTTCAGAAAAAACTCTGGGACATTGTTTTCACTGCAGAAACACGATTATCACTGACTTCAGACACTTCTTGGAGAAAAGAGAACAGGCTCTCAATTACAGGTTGATGCATTTTAAAAAGGAAATGTCTCCCAACAGTTCTTTGCTTGTCACGTTGGCGTAATACAAAAAAAAATAGAAGCACAGTCTCTTTTATATTCTTTAAACACTGATATTATGTGCAAAGTGAACAGTTTTGTGTTGCTGTAAAATGAACTCAAAGTTGTGTTCAAAGACCTTCGGCATACTGCAATGTTAGCCTTTCTTAACATCATCTTCAAACAGTAGCATTTTTAACCTTTTAGGTAACGAGGTGAACTCCTGGCTGCTCTCTTTGTAGTGCAGACTGTACTCCATCTTCAGGTTGCTGCGGCAAATCTGACCATCCCTGCATCCCTCCTTTACAAAGGTTATCTGCCACACAAAATATAAATACATACCACAACAATGGGGTTTTGTGATTACCTATAAACAAACGCTAGATTTTTTTACCTCTGTGACAGCTTTGCTTGGTTGATTAGTATCTAAAATGGGCAATATGTCAGGGAGGCTATGTTTTGCTTTCTGTTGTTTTGCACCAATAATTTTCGCAGAAACTTCAATGATGATGCTCCTCATCTTGTCCTTAATGTTGTCCTGTGTAAACCCAAAACAGAAAGTTAAAGTCAGAATAAAACAGGCTTCTGAACTGATACAGCAATACACTTAATACAACATGTACACCACCGGTCTCGTCTCAGTGGTGTATGCCCCCACCCCCCACCACATCAGGGGTACAAGCACCAATTCATTGAAGAACAGTCACACAGCTGTTGTTCTCCTGCTGCAAAACAGCCCACAGCTGTTGCTTTGACTGCTCCTTGAGATTCAGCAGATTGGCACTGAGTCAGAGTTGATGTCTGAGCCGATCCCACATGGGAGGACCTCAAAAAGATGTGGTCAGTCCACAGATGCACATGCAATTTGTAGAAGGACTGTGCTAATGGGGACTGTCTGGGGGGGTTAAGGCTCAGTATGACTCAGATGTAGGGTCCACTGATTCACTTCTGATGTAATCCAACAGATGACTGTCATTCGCCACTTGTACTTGATGGCAACTTCCATTTGTTTCTGACAGCTGTAAGGGTAACACATATGATTTACCTTAAGTTTGGCTGTTAAGATGATGCACTTTGGCTTATTTTGACCCTGGAGCTCTATTGTGCTGTTAAACTGGTTGTCAGATTCAGCCTGGGATTCATTCAGGAACATCACTCTGGAGTTCAACCGAAGTCCGTCCGCCTCAATAGAATATCTAATAGCTGAGACGTGGAACGAAAAACATATTAGTAAGAACAGCTATATGTTGTGAATGTTATGAATATGTATTTTTTTGGTACATACTTAGTTGTGGGTTGTAAAATGCAGGGTTCCCTTTGAAGCTGAAGCATGTTTCAACAGTGAAGCTGTGGATTATAAAAGCCCATTTAAACAAAGTTTTGTCTGCAGTTTATCTAAAATAAGTGAACATACACCAGAACATTTACCAAAAACTGTTTCCACAGGTAGTTTGACTTAGGTCAATTTCTTCAGGAGATACTTTGACATCTTTTGTAATGGTAACAACTGGCCTCGCCCTGAAAAACATCTTGTTAGGTTAAATTAAAGATATCAGTGGGATTTGAATTTATTGTACCCATGTTGCAAAGTTACCTGTAAATTACAGCAGAATCTGACAGAGATCCTACAGCCAGGTCTGGATAAGAGTTATCATCCAGGTCCATGTTGCCTGCCAAAGAATATCCAAAGAATCTAATGCTGTGCGCTTTACCTGAAAGGATCTTGGATGAAAGAGAAAAAAATTACCTTAAAATTAAAAATTTGAAGGACAAATTTTGTATTTTTTTAAACTATGGACCGCTATTCCAAATGAAAAAGAAAAAAGAGATAAATTCAATATCGTGGCTAGCTAGACAGGAGCAGTGAAACTGAACCAAAAGGACATTTTAGCTGTTAAAATTCAGATAAGGATCTCCGAGTTGCTTCAAATTCATTTGAGCTGTGGAAAATTGCAGCAAATGGTGTGAATTTATTACAGCACCGTCAAAAAATATTTTCTATCATGGGTTATGAACGTTTTATCGTGTTCGCGTGTTGTGATGATGTTATAAAAGTCAACAGAAGACCAGGTTTGGGGTTCATTCTGTGGCGCTGGATATAGGATAGTATTCTACATTGTTTGCTAACAAGGTGTGCTGTTTATGCAGTTTATTTTGAAAGGGCTTTTTAAAGGTGATAACAATTATTGTTTTAAAATGATATACCTTTTGAATTATTTACATCTATGCTCCTCCTACTTTGTTGAATGACGAAAATTGGTTAAGAGCATTCTAACAAGATTAAAGAGCTCTTATTTGCTTCTTTCCTGGCTGGTGTTGAATGTTTATTTTTGGTGACTTCCTTTTTCACGTTAGACATCTAAAGGAGACGCCCATGGTGTCTGGTGTTAAACGAGTCCTATCTTGATTAACAGTTGTTGATTAGCAACTCCGTTGTTTTGCTTTCTGTCACGGGACGGTTTTACGCCTGTTTGCTGTTAGCTCCAAGCTAACGCTTCATGCATTATTGTGGATTCTGTTCACAAGTGTTTTTTCTCAGAGTCGGCAGTTAATATGTGTTGGAAGTGCTGCAAATATTCCAGATGTTTTAGATAAATCGTCATGGGTTTAAAGAGTCTAAAAATGGGTCTCACTGAGGCTTTTGGGTATTAGAAAGCTAGTGTATTAGCTGTTACCATGCTACAAGCTATCTTTCATCAGAACGTGAATCCGTTCACGTCATTATTTGACCAAAACTAGTGACTTATGCTCATGTGGTCCGGGGTATGCTGTAAAACTGCTGCGTGAGTTTTTAAGGCAACTTTTTCCCTTTTTAACTGTCAGGATTTCAACATTCATGGTAAGACTGACTATCTTTCATAAGCAACCTGCGCAGAACTGGTTTTGATTCCTTGCGCAGATCCATGATAAATGTAGACGTTTCCTGCCCCGTCATCATCCTGTGGCGCTCCAACTGCGAGATCTGTGCAAGAACAGAGACGAAAAAGGAGTTCATCAAAGTGCAGTTGATGACACTAAACATAATGGGCACAAAGTCAGCTGTGTTACCTTTGTATGAGTCTTGATTGATGTCTCCGATGTCCTCCACGGCCAGTCCGAACATTGAGAGTTTGGTCCCGTTCAGCTGGACAGGAGATACATTTTCCCAAAGTCCGGCCTTGTTAATGTAAACATAAACAGCTCCACCAATGTCTTTGTCCTTCGTATAGAAGTGGGGAGCTCCTACAACTATGTCCTCCCATCTAGATCACAACGAAAAAGTAGGTGTCAGTATTTGGCAATAATATAGAAAAAATGGCCACTGGTATGTATATGTGAAATTAGCTATTCTCAAACTCTCAAAACCTCAAACATGTTTTTTTTTTTGTGATGTGTAAATTAGGTTGAAAACGTATTCCTTAAGAAAAAAATGTCTCTTACCCATCACCGTTCAGGTCAACCACAGCCACATCGTATCCAAAGGAAGATGCCGGGCCCGACCCGTGGAGAATGTGCTCCACCAAAAGTTTGCCGGAGAGTTTATTTTCGCGTTTCAGCAGGACTACAGCTCCTTTGTGATTGGCTCTTGGCGCTCCAGCCACCACTGTCAGGTCACGACTCTTGGTGATGCGGTGTCCCGAATCGAGCGAGAATCCTAAAGTTGGAGAAATGATTCAGACGAAAACCTTTAGTTTTGTACTAGAATATTAGTTCTACCTTTTTGGAAGGTCACTAACATTTATGTCTTCTTGTTGCCTTGAGAATAGCATAAAAGTTTCAAATGGTTTGCAGAAGATGAAAAAAAAAAAATCCAAACCCTTGTTCTCTCCTTCTTTAAGGTTCTGACACTTTGGTTTTTGCAATCGTCTCTCCACTTTTTAGGTTCTAATTTTAACAAGTTAAAGACTCCAAAGAAAAGCAGAAAAACTCAGAGACGGTACAAAATAACATATTTGCTTGTTTACATGTCGAGTTTATTGCAAATGTATGCTATATACTGTAGAAACAGGGCATATAACATGAGATCCAAGGCTGAAAAGGAAACTTGAGGTCCCACAGTAAAGTGGGAGACTGTCGAGAATGCAGGTCTTTTAAGGTAGAACCCAAGGATGCGGGCAGGACTCAGTCGACTCGGTGGTAAAAATAAGAAGACACTTTAATAATACAAAAATAAATGGCTGTCGAGGCAGCAAAACTTACACGTAGAAAAATCACGAGGAGGCACTCAGGAAAACACTAGGGACTCAGGAGGATTACAAGACGAGTACAAGACGATGCCCAGACCAGGAATAACACTAAGACACAGACTTATATACAAACACTGATGAGGACAAAACACCTGTCAGGCTCACAGGTGTGGGAAAAGGGAAATCACATGAGAGGAAAGAGAACAGCAACAGGACAGAGACACACCACTAGGGGCAATATCACCACAGAGACTCCATCATGGGTGGTGGAGAATGACAGTACTGTGGGACTTTCAGACACGCAGGTGATTGCCGGATGTTGTGGTGGTCGGCAAGCTACAGAAGAAGGCAGTGCTGATAGATGATGCAATCAAAAGAAGTTCGAGAAAAAACAAGGGCTGAAAGAGGAAAAAAAGGTGATTGGAGCACTCGGAGATATGACCCCAAACTGTAACCTCAGAGATCTCTGTCCAGGAACAGCTCAGACACTGCACAGAACCCTCAGGTTCTGATAGAAGACCCAAGTTTTGAAGTGAAGTAGAACTAACCAGGTGGAAAAATAGAGGGTGGGATGGTGTTTTATGTATATCAATACCTCACCTACTTTATCCAAACTGATTGTTTTACACATAAAAAAACAAGCTACAGGGCTTATAATATGCTCAAGTGTAAAAGCTTCTTGTGTACAAGTCCTAGATGTTCTTGTAAGATGTTTTACAGCATGCAAGTTATTCTACATTTAATGTGAAAATCATTTTCACATTACAGCATTAATACTTCTCTGGTCTCTAAATAGAGCAAATAAGCTACCAAGCGTACATTTGGACTTTTCAAAGCAAAGAAGCACAACTAAAATGCAAACTCAAAAAGAAAGTGACTCACTCAAATCTACCTGTGGTTTGTTGGTAAAAATACTCACCTAGGTAGCTGTTGGCAGGTAGAGAATTGAGCTCATTCACAACCTCATAAGGGCCATCTTCAAATATTTCCATCTCTACCAAAGTGTTGTTCCTTTGGTCCACTTGCACAATCCCTGACGATGATGTAAGCGATAATAATGGATGAGTTTGATAAATCACAGCTGTAGATATTTTCATGATTTGATGCAAATGACGTGGTTAGATGCAGAGTTACATATAAACCTGATCCTAACTCAATTACCCTGCCAGTTGTAAGCTCCTGGGGCTCCAAACATCACATAATGGTAGTCCTTAGTAAAAGTGGCTGCTAGGCCTTGCTGGCAGAAGCCGAAATGGTGGTGGTCTTTGCTTCTGCCCTCACAGAAGTTCCAGCCGCCTCCGTCCGTATTAGAGAATGGGTCGAAGGTCAAGTCCTGACTGAAGACGTAACAGCGTCCAGGAGTGGTGTAAGACTCCCAGTAACGCTTCTGATAACGATGAGCACATGTCTGAAATTACATGATTTGAAGGTGTTCAACACTATATATCAAGAAGAACGAGACATAAAGATATCAAGGGACAAAAACTGACTGTCTCACCATGATCTTTCCCCCAGGTCCTTGACTTTGTACAGTTACACCCATCCACTGGTTCTCTTTACTCTCATGTTGTGTGTCCTCTTTGAAAAAGTAGCAAAAATTGAGTTATTTAGAAATATTGCCCAGGTGGTTGGATAGGTACATGCAGGTAGGTTCCTCACCTTCATTATCAAACTGGACACGTTCACAGCCAGTGGATTGGGTGATTTCACATTTATAAAGACCTCCAGTGATAATGGATGTTTGTCTGTTTAAAGCCTTGGCTCTGGGGGCACCAACAAGCAAACTGAGGACAAGCAAAACAAAAGCATGAATTTGCAACGTGATGTTGAAATAAAAAAGCCTCAGAATAAACCGTGCTGCAGCCTCAGTGCATAACAGTCTTGCATTATTAGCATAAATGCAAGAGTAGACATTTATGAATTTTATCTGCAATAAAGCCCAGAAAAAAATAAAACGTATTTGTCTTAGTGTTCAGTCACACAAACAGCTGTGACTTTTTAAAGAATAAGAGTGGCATCCTGGCAGGCTCTGTTTGAATCTGCCACACAGAACAACATCCTTGGGTTTTTTCCGGTCGGGGATCTTTGTTACATACTTTGCTCTTTCACACTGTTTCCTGTCAGCATTGTTGCTTTCAAGTCCGTTTGTTTAAGAAACACAATCAGAAATGACAAATGGTCCATGAAGGAAAGACAAAATAACAGAACATCAGAATTATTTGGGTAAAGTAAAAAAAAACAACGAAATTTTCATCACTGACTTGCTTTACCAGAAATATACACAAGTTCAAGGAAAAGCTACACATCAAGTGTGGCTACAGCATAAATGACTGAAATTATCAACAGTTCTTCCTCTGTCTAAAAAATTATCCAGATCAGAATATAAGACGAAAATAGGCAACAATAAAGACCATATTTAGCGTGCATACTGTCTGTTTAAATGCACAAACATAATGTTTTATATATTTTTGTCCAGTGTGCTGAAGCCTGCTTCAGATCAGTGCTTTCTAGAAACAGGAAAAAGTTATGGAGTCCACAATCCTGAGAGCAGCAGCTGGCACAGTGGATCAGTGAATAGTGGTCGTTAGCGGTTTGTAACTTTAACACACTTCAGCAGCAGCTTCATGCCTGAGACTGAGCAGAAACAGATTAATCAAGCTGTCCATAACGAGGGGAGTTATTTTATTGCTTGACAGAAAGCAGTCATTGTCTTGACGTGACTCTCTGCAGAGGTCGTTCTGTAATGTGGCCACGTTGTTCAACCTCAGTCTGAACTCAGCTTCTTCTTTAAAGCCACATCCTCTCAGAACTGGAGATGAAGAGCCTCTGTGTTTTATAGCTGACTCATGCCTGCAGCCATTTTGGAAAATGATGTTCAGCACGTTTTTACACAAAAGGCGCTAAATGCTGTAAAAGACGAGGGCTACTTGTGCGAACACCAAGTTGTGACGCTTGCACATTGATACCATTAAAACGCAGTTATAGCTGATTGACACTGTGGCTTTTGAACACTGTTGAAGGTGTGAAAGCATCAGTCAGGCACAAACTTCTTGTCAGAATAAATTCATCTTGCTACATGAGATGCAACTAAAATGAACACAAAGGAGGTACAGTCATTTTATTTATTTTAACTTCTGATGTTTGTACTTCTTACACATTTTTTTTTTTTTTTTTTTTTTGCTCTCAGTCGTGCCATCAGCTTTTTTCACTCAAGATACATGCTGAATATTAGCCTCAAAACTGACTTTCGAGGTGGGTTGTTTAATGCCGGGCTTTTAAACTGACAAAAGAAATAGTTCATATATTTTAAAGTGTGCTTCTGTCAAAAGAGTATGAACAATTAATGTTTTACCTGTTGTAGATGGCTATTTAAATGACCCCAGTTTGGAGGAAAAATTGAATATTTATGTGTTATGAAAATATTAACAAGTTAATAGCTAGTCTGAGCGAGGCCAAGAACAATTTCTTAGGTGTTCATTTAAACATTATTTTATGAACTTTTATATTGCTGCATTACTCGTGCATTTACATATGTTTATTTGCAGTTATTAGGAGCTGTAGCACTTCAAGTGTAGCCTTGGATACTAGCTGTTAGCTCATAAATCTGACCAGAATAAAACTCTGCTCCTCCAAAGTTCAAAAAGCTATCTACAACAGGTTAGATATTATTTCTTCATAACCTTTCCAGAGTCACACATCCAAATTCTGAGCTATTCCTTTAAGATAAAAAAAAAAACTGTTGCAATATCATAGGACTAGAGGATGTTCGTCACTATAGACTGAGTAGCAGCAAAATATTTTTAATCCCATTAAGACAGCTGGCAGCAAAGATAACGGAGGAAAGAAAGACAAAAAGACAGTCTGGTTGTTTTAGATATTTAGGAGTAATAAAAAAAAAATTAAGCTAACAAAATACATCATGTGTGTGTTCACCAGCAAACTCGAAGAAGGATTCTTTTCAAAACAGGGAGAGGAAATCCTCCCTGTGACCCTGCAGCTCCTTCTGTGACCCACCTATTGGTCTGCGTGCTCCTCATTAGCTAAACAAGGACTCTCCAGGAGAACAGCCTCATTTTTCTTCTCAAACAAATCCAAGTGACAGTAATTCTCATTTTCCCACCTCTGAGCATCAGTTCTAAGTGCAAAAGAAGATTTAGTGCAGAACTGAGGCAACGGTGAATCTGGTGTTTTTACATTTAAAGCCAAAGCGGATTATTCATGTCTTTTGGGATAAGAAAAAATAAAATAAAATTCAAGCAAAATTAGCACACACATTCATCAATTTCTATAGTTAAACAGGAGCTAATTAAACTTTAGATTGGTCAAAACAGCACAAGCTAAAAACAAATAAGCTTATAAGCAGCTAAAAGCTACAATAACCGTTCTAATTATTAAATATCTACAATAATTGTGTCACTCTAAAATAAATCATAATGCAACAACACAATAGACAGGTAGAAATGAAGGATTCAGACAGTGAGGGCACTTAAAAGACATCTTTTAGCCCTGAAGTGGATTTGATTATTGCTGGCAGATGCATTTTCTTTTAGAAATTCTAAGACATAGAAGCTACACAGGAGAGAGAGAGCTTGTCATACAGTTGTAGAGCAGTGAAAAAACATGTGCAGCTTAAAAGCAGACCGGCGCAACATGTAGAATTTAGAGCATACCCGAGGAAGGTCAAAGAGAGACCTCAGAGAGAGTTCAGCTCATATTTTGCATCAGAGATTAATGCAAAAGTTGCAGAATACGACTAATAAAAAAATAAGAGCTAAATATTTTAGCCTTGACAAGAGGTAAAATAACGTCAAACTGCATGAATGTACTGTCTCTGTGCAGCAGCTTGGAAAAAAAATAAGCAAAAACGTGTGACTTAAATGTGCAGGAGTGAATTTTTATTTTTATTCTTCACCATAAAAATGGATAACTTAACGTGACAGATGGTTTGTTACCTAAAAACATCTGTGAAGCCGTCCAAAGAATCCTACAGACTGTCCCGAACATATGGGAAAATGCAAAGTGTCCGTCAGCTATAAGATTACTGGATTTTTTTTTAACGATCCCACTGTATCAGTTTTCAGAATCAAGTTTATTCAAGTCCTGGTTCAGCGTGAAACCACATCTCATCACATGACACGTCTCTCAGCGAAGTGTAAACTGCAGAGCTGGTGAGGGTTTACCCAGTGAGCTCACTGGTTTCTGTTAACAGATGTGCACCAGTGCTCCCACAGCTGTGCACTCAAAGCAAGGAGAACCACCGCAGCTGTTCTAACTGAGTCCGTTTGCTCTGACTGGAGCTGACCTGTGAGTGTCTGGACACACTTCACACAATGAGCTGTGGATATTCTAAAACATGAAGTTCACAAGTTTTCAAAGTTTCTTCTTTAACTCCAGTTTAATTAATTACTCCTTTAACTGGACCGACCTCAGTGTGATGCTTAACTGGAATGTCCTGATTGATGATTCACTGATGCGTTGACTCTCTCAGGTTACATGTGCACAGATGGCTGTAAACGTCTGCTCAAATGGCCCTTTTCTCTGGTTGAAGTGAGAGAATCCAGATCATTTACTCATTTATTCATCTGACTGCATCTCCTTTCACCCAGCAGAGACTAATATGAGAGGAAAAAGATAATGAAGGCATAAATACTATAAAAAGGCTGTTATAAGGAATAAATATCTTACCTGTTGTAGGTAGATTTTGAAACACGTCAAGTTGACTGGCTAGTCCACAAAGAGGCAAGATGAAAGTGGATAGATGTCTATGTTGTAGTAATATTTTGTGTAAATGCTGTTTTATAAGCTTTTATACTTGTCAGTTTTACAATATACGGTTATTCGCGTACATTTTTGTGGTTATCTACAAGCTCAAATAGCAGCTGCTAATTGTAACATTTAAGCATTTCAGCGCTATATTTCTGCCAAAATACCTGTTTAAAGTGAAACTGACAGTGGTGTAAAGGTTTCTAATAAAGAGTTTGTATGAATCACAATGAAGTTTTTTTTTTTAATTGTACACGTTTCGATGACAGCTACACTTCGACCTAAGCCTTGCTTGAATTTGCGGTTAGTTCATGAATCCAATTCGATTCAAATTATTTTCTTCCAAATTGAGGTCATACAAAAAGCTGTCTACAACAGTAAGATATTAGTTGTTCATAACTTGTCCACAGAACCCCACCTTTCAGGCTGCAGGTAAAAAACTCTTTAAGCTTTAGCTTGAAATGGAAAAAGATATATGCAGCTGCAACAGTCTCCTACCAAATATAGTTTTCTAAAGAATTGAATAAAGTCTGTTTTCTTCTCTTTAACAATAATCCCATGCATGTAAGAAGCAGAAATCTGCAGCTGATGATTATCAAACATTTGTTCTTATGAGAACAGGAGACAGACGCAGCGAGAGACAAATTTAGATTTGTGGTTTCCCAAGTTCAGTGAAACCATTCAAAGCATCATTACACGTGTGCGCTCTGCTGAGCATCCTTTACGCTCGTTTGGTTCATAATCTGAAGATCACGTGACGATTTAGAGCTAAGACCACAGCGGAATAAAGGACGCTTTTACAAACTGACTTAGCATTTTTATCTCAGTAAGAAAAACATCACCAGGACAGAGCAAATAATGGCTGATTTTAATAACAACATAGTTTGTTGTTTTTGTTTGCCAGCAAAGCCAAAAGCAGAACAAAGTTTTGTCCATTTCTATGTGTGCATGTGTTCGTTTATCTGTACTGTTAGCAAAATATCTCACAAGCCACTTGA